CCAAGAGGATGAGTCTCAGCTTCTTGTAGCCCACAGTTCCTGCTGCTATTTTCAGCTCTTTTATGAATCAGACCCATGGCCATATCTGGTTAGCCAATTAGCCCTCAGCTTTGGTTAAATCTATGCTTTTGTACTGCTTTATGTCAGCCTGAACTCAGTCTACTATTTTACTTGGGCTTGTAATCTTCATTTTGACTTCTATCATGCCTTTGGTCTTTAGTCTAGGGCTATGCACATTATCTCCAGAAACTTTCTTAGCAAGACTGGAGGGGTAGGTGAAGCATATGATATTTTATCCTGCTTTTATGAATGTACCAAAATCACTGTTCACTGAGCCCCAAATGATGGTCCCAGGATTATTGTTCGGTCATTTCAGTTGTGACCCTCTAAGATTTTCTTGGTAAAGATACTGGAGGGGTTTGCCATTTCCTTCTCCAGTTCATTTTACAGGGGAGGAAACTGAGGCAAACAGGGTTAAGTGACTTGCCCAGGGTCACACATTTTGTATCTGAGGCCATATTCAAACTCATGCAGTTTAGCCTTCCCAACTCTAGGCCTGGCACTCCAACCCCTGCACCACCTAGCCACCCCTAAGTGGTCCCAGGATTATATTTCTCCAAACAGACTTATCAAGGAGATCAGTTGGATCAACAGAGTGAATAAACAGATAATGAGAAGATACTCAGGAGTTTTGCTAGATGGGAATATCATCATTGTCATTGTCATTGTTATCATCATCATGTATACAATGCCTCCAGTGCCCAACACAACTCCGATATATAGCACAGTCTTACATATAGAAGATGTTTAATACACATTTGTTGAACTGAAATTAGTTGACTGTTGACTGTGGGCTATGGTTAAGGAATAGAAAAAGGCGAAAGGCACGTTACTTGGTTCCAAGGAGATCCATTATCTCACTTCTAAAAGGCAATGGGTAAGGTGGATTGACAGTGTAGGAAAACAAATCTTGTTTCTAAGCAACAAATGAATTGCATATGAATTGGCCCAAGGTAGATGGATGGGAATAACTTAGAGGAAAAAATATTGTTGCAGGTAACATTGGATTGTTCAGGATTTTTTTTTTGAAAAGTACTTTATATTCAATTCAGTTGAATAGTAAATGTTTACTAAAAAAAACCCTGTAATGTGCTTCTATGTGTTGTGCTAGACATTGGAAACACAAAGCCAAAAAAAGCTTCTGCTTCCAAGGAGCTTCATTCACTATGCTCAATATGGTAATACTGATATTGTCATAGGTATATAAATGCATGTGAATATATGTGTATATATACATACACACGCGTATTTATACACATACGTACAGGTATTGGTACATTTGACTGACTGAAATCTTAAAAAAAAAAGATGAAAATCTAACTAAGTAACTAGGTCTTAGAGTCTTCATTTCAACAATGTATATTTTTCAGCTCTGATACATCTATCTCTGTGACAAAGATGCAGAGAGTAGAATTTCAGTGACCTGAACAAGTTATGTGTTGTTAACTGATAAATGGTCAAAGCATATGAAAGGCAGTCTTCAAAGGAAGAAATCCAAGCAATTCATATCCATATGAAAATATGCTTCAAATAACTAGAGAAATGGACATTGTAGCCACTATGAGGTTCAACCTCACATCCATATGATTGATAGAGAGGACAAAAATGGAAAATGACAGTTGTTAGAAGGACTTTGGGAAAATAGGCACATTAATTATACTTGGCAGAGCTGTGAATTAGTCCAGCTATTCTGGAAAGCAGTTTGGAATTATGCCCTCAGAGACTAAACAGTCCATCCCTTGACCTGGTGATATCACTACATTTCCTATACCTCTAAGAGATCAAAGAAAGAAGAAAAAGATCTACATGTACAAAAACATAGAGAATCTCTTTTGTAGTGGTAAAGAACTGTGTCTAATTGGGGAATGGTTGAATAAATGATGGGATACAGATTTAATAGAATGTTTTTGTACCATTAGAAATTATGGGGAAAAAATTGTTTCAGAGAAACCTGGGAAGACTTATATGAACTGATGCAGAGTGGAGTGGGCAGAACCAGGAGAATAATTTATGCAATAACAACAATAATGTAAACAAAACCAACTCTGGTCAATGTAGTGACTATCCATGACAACAGAGTACTGATGATGAAGTGTGGTATTCTACCTCCTTACAGAGAGGTGATGGTCCCAAGATGCAGAATGAGACACTCATATTTAGACATGTCTAATGTGGGATTTTTTTGGAATATACGTATTTGTTACAAGAGTTTTTCTTTTCTTTTTAATTTGGGATGGAGTGGGGAAGAAAGGTTGGGGGAGAGGGGATGGACTTTTTTTAAAAAAAATGATAAGATAACTGAGGGGAGGCCAGAAGGAGTGAATTATAGACAAGAAGAGTAGCTTTGGAAGTTACCCAATGGATTTGTTACATACTTTCTTAAAAAGAGGTAGAACTCTACATAATAGATTCAATTTTATGTACAATTCCCGTCCTTTGGATCAATAGCATATATGGAAATGCACTTTTTATTTTATGTTTGTTAAGTTCAGAATTTTTTTTTTAGGCATTTGAGGTTAAGTGACTTGTCCAGGGTCACACAACTAGTAAGTGTCAAGAGTTTGGTCTGAGGCTGGATTTGAACTCAGGTCCTCCTGACTTCTGGGTCGGTGCTCTATCTACTGTGCCACCTAGCTGCCCCAAGTTCAGAATTTTTTTTAAGTGGAAAAAAAATAACATATATTCTAGGTTCCAGCCAGAAAGTGACTTAAGTCTGCATGGTGCATAGTAGGTCCTCCTGAGAGGCAATGGCTAAGGCACTCAATTTTGATTCAGGAAGGGACTTCAGTTCATATGCAGCCTCCAATACTTAGTGTCTGTGTAACTCTGGGCAAGTCACTTAACCTTTCTCAGCCTCAGCTTCCTCACCTGTAAAATAACACCTACTCCACAGTGTTGCTATTAGAATCAAATAAGATAATACAAGTATTATTATTATTGTTATTATTACTGCTACTCCCACACCAGGAGACAGGGTTATATAGGTTATAGTGGATAAAGAACTGGCTTGCTTGTTACAGAGATCTTTGTTCAGACTGTGTGACCCTGGGCAAGTCACTTCTCAGGCTGCAGGGAATTTGTTAGGACTAGAGGTTCCTGAAAAAGTGAAAACCTGTATTAGTAGAAGAGTTTTTTTTTATTGTGAATTTTCCTCTACCAATGAAATTATAGGTCTGGGCTAATGTAGAATAATATTCATTATAAGGGAAGCGCTTTGAAAACAAGACACAACTGTTTGTAAATGTGAATTGTTAATATGTTATTCATTTGTGGAGCGCTGGAACAAATGCTCAGGAGAGGAGGTTTTGAAAACATTGAAATGTAGTGAGATGTGTGTGTGTGTGTGTGTAACCATGCACACACACGTATAATATAGATATATAATATATACATATATTTATATATACACAATATATATGCACACATATATATAAAAATTATTATGTAGAGTTATTTTTTCCTTGGTATTTTCCTCCCCATATAATTGTTAGTTTTGGGAAAAATAAAATAAATTCACTTAAATTTGAACTTCTATATTAAAAACATATAAAACTTAAAAAAAGATTGTCTAAGAAAGTTTAAATATTATGTCAGTCAACCATTCAATCCACAAGCCCAAATTTGTTAAGTGCTTACTATGTATAAGGCACTGTGCTAGGCACTGGGATACCAGGACAAAAATGAAACAATTTCAGCCTTCCAAAAACTTATATTCTCTCATGGGAGGACACATTTATATAAATTATTTGTGTTGTTGTTGAGGCATGTCCAATTCTTCGTGACTCCATTTGGGGTTTTCTTGGCAAAGATACAGGGGTAGTTTGCCATTTCTTTCTCCAAGCTTATTTTTACAGATGAGGAAACTGAGGCAAACAGGGTTAAGTGACTTGCCCAAGGTCACACAGCTGTCTGAGGCCAGATTTGAACTCAGGTCTTCCTTACTCTAGGCCTGGCACTCTAACCACTGCACCACCAAACTGCTTTATGTATACAAATAAGCTCTTACCTGTGTCTCCAAGAAGCTATAGCATGCACAGCAGCTACCCCTTTCACCAGATAGGGCTAAACCAGCTTGAGGGGAACTGACAAGCCTCAAACACGTTGGTGAGTTAGGGGGACGTCTACCCCAAACATGTGAAGATTTCCCTTGGCAGAATGGGTGGATGATTTGTTCCAACAGGCCATGAAGGTGGTGGAAGCAGGCACTATGGAATGCTTAGAGCTTGGTTGGACCATCGAAGGTGTTGAGGTCATCCATTGCATCCAGTTATCTTGACTTTTGTCAAGCTTCAATGACCCTGGAAGAGAGAATGAGGCTGACAACTTTGTTCTACTCTGCCTCACTTAAATCCAATTCATGCATGAGTCAAGACATCATCTTGTCATGTCATTGGTCCTCTTCAAAAACAAAGGATGAACAACAACTACAATCCAAATAAGCCTAGACAATAGATACAAAATGAATATATGGGAATTTTGAGAGGGAGGGCATTTGGATGCTGGGCAGCATCAGAAGAGACTTCAGGGAGAAAAGACAAATGCACAAGTGAACTTCAGAGAGCACTACGTGACTGAATTTGAGGTTGGACTCTGCTGACTTGTCTGTGCTTTTTATCCCAAAAGGTATACTTGTGTAATGAAAAATGTGGTGGACTTGAAACAGGAAAGTTGGGATAACTTTCCCCTTGACATAGTCTTCACTTCACTGAAGTCTCTGAATCTTGGTCCTTTAATTTTATATAAAATGGGGATAATAATCCCAGTGATAACTCTTCCATTGAGCTGTTGTGAAGATCAGATGAAATAATGTATGTCAGACATTACATAAATGTTATTTATGATCACTACCTGGATTTTTTATTTTACCTTACATGGACAGGTGTTCTTAGCAAGTCATTCCTTTTGCCTTCTTGCTGTTAATTATGCACTTGTTTTCTCAGGTGATGCTGTGATAATCTTTCCGCCCCCACCTCCACCTTATTTTTCGAATGTTTCAACATCTACAGTGACAACACATGACTCAGCATCTAACAGTTTGCCTCTGAGTGAGAACCCACCATCGTATTACAGTATTTTTAATTATAGGTAAGACTTTCTACTTTTAATTTCTGGGAATGAAATGCTTAACTTATAATTCCATAGCCTGCAGGATAATTTAAGGTTATTCAATTCGCTTTACTATAGTTTTATTTTTACCAATTATACGGAGTATCCCAAAAGTCTTAGGGAAGTTTTAAGGCATTGCAGGGCAGATGGGTGGCACAGGTGAATAGAGTGCAGTGCCTAAAGTCAGAAAGATTCATCTCCCTGAGTTCAAATCTGGCCTCAGACACTTGTTAGCTATATGACCCTGGGCAAGTCACTTAACCCTGTTTACCTCAGTTTCCTCATCTGTAAAATGAACTAGAGAAGGAAATGGCGAACCCCTTCAGTATCTTTGCGAAGAAAACTCCAAATGGGGTCATGGAGAGTTGGATGCGATTGAACAACAACAAAAGGCATTACTACTTAAAGAACTTAAGCCGGTGGTGTCAGACTCAAATAAAAATAGGTCCTTGTTGGCTGTCTATTAACATTATCTATGTGGTATTATATTTTCATTTATTTTGTTAAGCATTTCCATATTACATTTTAATCTGGCTCAGGTCTATAACAGCATTAGGATATAGCTTAACCACATGTGTCAAACATGTGGCTGAGGGCCTGAGCCAGACTAAAATGTAATTGGGAAATATATGCATATGTATATATAGCTTATATTTGTAATATATGTGATGAATATCACATTATAATATATGTATAGATAACATACATGCAATGCATAATATCTTATTTTTTATTTTTTATTTTATATGCACACATACATACACATATATACACATCTGTATATATATATATGTATATAGCTTCAATAGCTTAAAATTGCATTAAGACTTTTGGGATACCCCTTATAAAAATTTAGGTATAGAACTGATTAATTTTCTTTTTATGTTATATCTGTTTTTTAACTCTTTTCTTTTTGGAGGCAATTGGGGTTAAGTGACTTGACCAGGGTCATAACCATACAGTTAGTAAGTGTCTGAGGCTGGATTTGAACTCAGGTCATCCTCACTCCAGGGCCAATGCTGTACCACCTAGCTGCCTCTTCTGCTAAAGCTTGAATTTAGAAAGATTTGCCATCCTACATCTCCTCCTCTAAAACTAATACGTTCCTCTTACTTGTGCAATATTGTTTTTACTTGGGAAATCCAGTGTTTTATAAGTGTTACTAGCTCGGTCCTCATTCCCATGAATCAGGTACAATATCACTTATGGGAAACAGAGACAGAGAAACTTGCCTCACTCTAATGTGGTCACAGAACAAAAGGAAGAATAGCAAAGTTAGGAGCAGAGACCACACATCCAGCCTAGACCAGTGGTCTCTTCATTAACCCAATTTCCTGATTCTATTAGGCTTCTGTCAGCAAAGGAAATAGCAGCAGAAACTGCCTTGTGCTAAAGCACCTGGTCAGTTCAGCCTGCCTCACTGCTGGTCACTCAGCCTGCCCCTTGTGGGCCCAGCCTGACCCAGGAGAAGGTCACTGCATGGATGGACTCAGAGCTGTGGCTCAGCTGCAGAGTGAGCCATGCAGGCTTATGTGGGTCTTCAATATGAAAAATTCTGTTGTTAAATTTCCTTTGCAGCTCTAGTAGCTGCACATTAGTGGTGAGCCTTGAGTTAGCCAGCTGAAAAAAGGAAGTGGAAGCCTGGCTGGCCCCTTTCACAAGGAGTTTTATTTGGTGAAATTCTTCTGCCTTATCTGTGGGCCTTGATTTCACTTTGTAGTAGTTTTTCATGAAAAAAAAATTGCAGACAAGGCCCATATGTGCATTGCAAGAGAATTTTTTTGGGGGGAGGAATGGGATTGGATAAGGCATTGAACATTAACTGTATTTGGTTGGGCATGTTCACCTGTGAACAGAAATATCTCGAATTAAATCACTAATGAGCTGGAACTTGTTCTAACTTGTCAGTTGTCTAAGTGTCCATCATTATAATCCTGGATAGTATTAGCTATTTTTAAAAAGTTATTGTGATACCACCTGACGAGACTCTCAGCTCTCTCTGAATGGATTTGTTTGGTTCATTGCTTCTTAGTTTTATTGACTTTGTATTATAAAAGTCACTTTTCCAAGAATAAAATTAGGTTAGAACAAATCGGATGATCTCACTTCTTTGGTTCTTTTTCAGCTTCACTCCATCCCTTTCCACACTGCTCAAGGTGGTCTTCAGTCTCCACTCCTCCTGGGGACTTCTCCAGAGTAGCTATAGCCTACCAGTTGACCATTCTCCCTTTCTAAAGCTCCCATCATTGCTTTGCCTTCTCAAAACCTTCTTAGGATCACAGAATACTAGGATTTAGAGCTGAAAGGAACTTTAGAGATCATCTAGTCCAATGCCCTCTTCTCATAGATTTAATCTCCAGTTAAATGATTTGCCCAGGGTCTCATAGAGAAAAGACCTCAAAGTCAACCACACCCTTGATGACAAATCCAGAATTGTTTCCATTATACTCATCTTGGACTGAGGAACAGTGTGGCATAATCGTTAAAAAGAAGACCTTGACTTTAGGAAGATTTCAAGTCCAGTTTCTGACATATACTGGTTGTATAACCTCATGCACATGACTTAACTTCTCAGTGCTCTGGGCAAGAGGTCTCAAACACACAGCCTCAGGCCACACGTGGCCTGCCTCTGCAACACTACAAGTTGCCGCAAAGGTTCATATGTGCATTGCAAGAGGGGTTTTCCTCACCTGGGAGTTCCTTATACCTATGAATTCACAGGTCTGGTCTTTATCCCTATTTTTGGATTGATCCATGAAATACAGAAGATTTACCTTAACAAATAGTGATGTGAAACACTTAGTACTCCTTTCTTCAAACAATCTAATTTTATAAGTGTTTGTTGACTAACTACTATGTGCAGGATATAGTGTTTAGTACTGGGAGTACAAATGTGGAAAGAGTGTTGTAGTTCTGCCCTATTATATTTGCCTGATGACTTGCAAATACTTCTCTAGGGAGAAGAAATTGGGAATAAGCTTTTGTTGTTGGTCAGTCATTCAGTCATGTCTGACTCTTTGTGACCCTATTTGGGGTTTTCTTGACAAAGATACCGGGGTGGTTTGCCATTTCCTTCTCCAGTTCATTTTACAGATGAAGAAATTGAGGCAAACAGGGTGAAGTGACTTGCCCAGGGTCACAGCTAGGAAGTGTCTGAGGCTGGATTTGAACTCAGGAAGATGAGTTTTCCTGACTCCAGGCCTGGCACTCTATCCACTGCACCACTCAGCTGGTGCAATTCAGAGAGGCAGCTCTGGGCTGGACCACCACAGTTTGTGATTATTAGTAATTCCTCTGATTCTTTTTTTTTTTTTTTTTTGCTTTTTGGTGAGGCAATCGGGATTAAGTGACTTGCCCAGGGTCACACAGCTAGTAAGTGTCATGTGTCTGAGACTGGATTTGAACTCAGGTCCTCCTGACTCCAAGGCCAGAGCCCTATGCACTGCACCACCTGGCTGCCCCAATTCCTCAGACTCTAGTGAACACTGTGTGTGGGTTCAGAACATAGGTGGGCCTGCTCGGTATACACCCCGCTGACTCAGGAGCTACCTGATCCTCTGACTATGGTGGAAAGAGGGCTGGATTTGGAGTCTGAGGACCTGAATTTGAATTTGAATTCTAGCTCTGCCCCTTTGAGCCTATGTGATCTAGCACAAGTTATTCAATATCCCTCAGCCTTAGTTTCCTCATTTAAGAAATGAGATTGGATTAGACTCTCTCTAAGGACATTACTAACTCTTAATCCTTTGTTCTTGTCACTCCAAACTGAAACAAACAACAGGGAACACCCAATGATGTCATTCCAGGAGGAGGCCCAAGACCAAAGGCACTGGAGCCAATGCCCATCAGCTTCACCTGGTCTCCTGGTACACATTCCATTCATTCTTTCCATAATGCTAGCAGTTTCTCACCACTCTGACTCCGTAGGGGGGGTGGTATGGGTGCTATTTTATTGCTTGGGCCATGTGGGTTATATGTGTCCATATGGTTCTATGGCTCACAGGGAGGTCAGAATAGATATTTCCAGTATTTCCAAGGGAGACTGATTCCTGCCAGGAGAGAAAGCAGGAAGTTGGGGCCAGAGGATGGCCATTCTGCTCTCCTCAGAGAGAGGTGGTACTGGGTTAGAATTACATCTATCTGCTTCCTTAAATATTGTTAATCTAGGGGAAGCATTTGGGGCAGCTAGGTGGCTCAGTGGATAGAGTGCTGAGCTTGGAGTCTGAAAGACTCATCTTCTTGGGTTCAAATCTGGCCTCAGACACTAACTAGCCGTGTGACTCTGCACAAGCCACTTTACCCTGTTTGCTTCAGTTTCCTCATCTATAAAATGAGCTGGAGAAGGAAATGGCAAACCACTCCAGCATCTCTGCCAAGAAAACCCCAAATGGGGTCATGGAGAGTCAGACATGAAAGAAAAACAACAAGGAAAAACAATTTTTTAGGTCCAAACTAAGCACCTGATCACTATCCATTAATAGACAAGGAAGGCCCCAAGCTATATATTTAAGGCTTGACTCCCTTCCCAGTGCCACAATGAAAATACATAGCAAATAACAAACAAGCCCATTTACCCCAAAAGGGTAGCAAACAGAAATCAGAGAAGGTATACAAAGGAGAATTTATACCAGACAATGCACACAGTGAATGAGCTCTTCCTTTGGGAGCAAGATAACTCAGCTCAACCAAGACAGAGAGAATCCCAGATCTGACCAAAATGGAATTCCCTGAAATCTCTGGTATAGCAAGCGAGCTGGGGGTGGGAACATGATGGAGATCGCCAACTCCTCTATAGGTTTTATTCTTTCCAGAGTCTTTGCCTCACCTTGGGGACATGTAGAGAGGTTAAAAATAGCACATCTTCTCTCTTGAATCTAGAAGCCAGAAGAGCCCTTATCTCTTCTCTCTTTAGCTCTTATGGACTGCTTACCTCTCATTCAGGCACACTGAGTAATCTATCTCCAGCAGTGAGGAGCGAG